CCTGAAACATTTAAGTTTTGGGGCGCTGACATCTCTGGGCGGCAACTCAAAACAAGCAGCCTGTGGCTCTGGCATAGAGAGAGGATTTGGGTCTTTTATTTTGGAACTGCATGCCGTCTGCGGGACTTGTTCTGCAGTGTTAAGCCCCGTGGGGGACCCCCCCACCCTGCTGAAGCTGCTGCAGTGCTCCATTGGGTGCCTGAGAGTGCCGTTCGTTTACAGCTCCACCGCCGTTGGTCAGCTGCCCTGTGTGGTCCCTCTTGAGTCCCGGGTCACAGGCTGAGTTGTGGACCACCTTACGGGAGCCAGACTCCTGCTTGATAGTGAGTCTGAGAGCCCCACGAGAGCTGGAGCGGTATGTCTTAAGTCCTGGAGGTCGGTCGGACACTCTGGTCCAGGCTGGTGGAGAGGAGGGGCAGCTGGAGTACAAATGGGAGGGTCTAATGGAGTGGGAACCATGGGGGGAAGACACTGATGTAGCCAAGGCCATCACGAATGACTCTGGAAAGAAAAATGTGCAGGATGGACACAAGTTACGTTGACCTCCTGGCTTTAGTTGCTCAGGATTTTATCGGCCCCTGAGACTTCTGCCCCCATGCCAGTACAGTAGTGATGACACTTATTTTGTTTGTTCTCTGAAACATCATGTTCAAAAACATCCCTGATTCTCTGGATAATCCACAAACCACACTGTGGAAATGATCAAATGCCTGATGCTGCTGCTTAGAGCTGTGGAGTCCTTCAAGGATCTGTCCTTGACACTAGTTTTCATTTGTTATTTAATCATTTAAATCTTGTTACTTTTGTTGGGAAAACAAAACCACTCATCAAACATTAAAATGAAGAGGCCTCTCAGTATTATATCATCCAATTCGGCAGAAAATCTTAAGACTAAACATTGTAAGTTCATGTCTTTTGTAATTTGTTTGAAATTGCCCTTTAATGTAAATTCCATGGTGGCATAGCAACACAGTGGTTAGTGCTGTCACCTCGCAGTGAGAAGGTTCTGGGTTTGAGCCCGGGCCGGCCTGGTGCCTCCCTGGTCAGGAATAAGCAGTGTAGATGATGGATGGATGTAAATTCTGTTCTAAATCTCCAGATATATGTTTACCGTAATTAGAGGGAAATGAGACACAATTTTCCACAACTGGAACAGAGTATATGTATAATATCGTCCAACAGTGTGGAAAATTGGCCTTTTTCCCTCAATGCTTAAGTTACTTAGATATAAATTTAAAGGATACTGGGATATAATCTCACTTTGCTCTTTTAGGTTCTTGCTCATGTTTTTCTTTTATGCGCTTATTTCTATGTACTGTGTTAGAATGAATATGCAACGTCTGACCAGGGACTATGAGTGAAAACCACATTTCCATTGCAAATGAAAATAAATTTAAGGGTTTTATTTGGGGGCACGTCACCTATCACTTGACATTTGTGTAATAATAATCTGTTCTATTTTTGGATTGCTATTCATCCAGAGGTGCCAGGGTCCAACAGCAGCCACTTCTGACATTTAGCAGTTTTCAAGAGCTTTCTTCTCCTGTTCCAACTTTTTAATTAACCTATCAACCCCGATTTCATTTGCTCTTAACCTCTCATGTAATTTTTTCATCATCACACCGAGTCTTTCTCAGCACGACCCTGCTCCACATTTACACAGCTTAATCACACATTCACACCTGGGAGCTGCTCTGGAGCAAATATGGAGGTTAAGTATTGCATTAAATTAGTTTGTCAAGAAAAAAAAAGCTTGTGTCACTAATTCACTTGTCCCTGTCCAGATTTTCTGTCTCAGTTAGGGGATTTGAAACATATTTCTTGGCAAACAGACACACAGACAGCCTGACGGATGTTTTCGCCTGCTGGGACACTGACCCGGGTCTCTGCGGGCTCTCCGTCTGTCCTCCGCTAAAGCGTATCGCTCGGCCTGAAGGAAGAGACGCTCCAGCATCACCATCTCTGCTGACGGACTCTCCTGCTGTGGAGACGCATGGTGTCACACAGCTTGTTCTGTCTGCTAATTGTACTGTAAACTGTGGTGAAGTTTGGCTTCATCTCAGCTTAAACATGAACAAGGGTGTATAAATAAAAGTTGTCTGGTCTCAGTTAGTTGTTAAATGTGATCAGGCAGTTTACTGCTAAAATTACTAATAACAAAGAATGTATTTGTAATTAAGTCACATATGTATTATTGTTTTGTTGTTTTATTTTTTTAGCATCTACACAACCAGGAAAAATGTTCATGAGCTTTTAAATGCTTCCCCACTTTGGCTGTACATGCTGAAGTGACCGAGATCTGATCTTTTCACAGATGTGTCAACAAGCCAGATGAAACTTGTTCAAATTGGACCTGGGCCACTTTCATGTGGTCCCAGAGCTGATATTTGAGTGTGTGTGTGTGTGTATACATGTAATGTGATGATCTTTGTTAGAAAAAGAAGAAGAAGAAAGCGCTGTGTGTGTGTCTTACCTGGGTTTCTCTAACCAGTAGCTGCCTGTACTTGTTGACCATGTCCTTAGTGCGTTTCAGGAGGAAGCCGGACACAGTGTCAAACTCCTGGTCCACTGTGAGGAGAGAAACACCATCACACTTAGATCAATGGGTAATAAATCACTGTACCCTTAGTAGGCAAGTTGTTCTTACCTATAACAGCGTCTTGCTTTCATCATTATGCATTGTTACAGGATGTGGAACGAATAGTCAGTCTGGCAGCACAAATCAGTGAGATAACAACATACTCACTGACCTAGACTGAAGTCATCCTGAGTGGGCAGGTCACCAGCACAGGTGTGGTACGGCAGTAGGCGCCTCACAGCGTCCTTCAGCGTGGAAAAGGCCGGGCTGGGTCCGAACAGAGCTGCTGCTGGAACCTGAAGAGCACAGTGAGACCTCTGTTCACAACAGACTGGACACGTCAAACTGGTAAGGTAATACAGGATGGCGTTCTATGACTGACTGGGGTAATGCAGCAGGTTCTCTGTACGTGGTCAGTTTGCTGTTGTAAATCCTGGTTTCTTATACACTAACATGGTTGCTGACATGTCAGTAGGTTAGTGTGACAGTAAGAGGAAGAGTAATATACTGTAAAGTGCTGCTTTTACTCAGTGTGATCATTAGATTCATGGTCTGTGTTTATCAGAATGCAGAACTTTCTTCGTCTTACGAATGCTCTTAGATTAAAAAGAGCTCCACAGGCACACAAAACATCGTTCCAAATTCATGATGGGAAACATGCACTGCTGTGAGTCTGAGAAGTGACATTTCTGTCCAGATCTGAGTGAAGTTCTCCATCTAATGGTGACTTTCTGCAGTACAGAGCAGGGTCAGAGTCGGTGCTCGGCGCCTCCTACCTGTGCCTGCGCATTGCTGGTGTGAGCCTCTCCTCTCTCTGCTGCTCCCGACGGCCTGCCAGCTGGCACACATGCAATTATCAAAGGACGAAGGTAGGAGTGCATCTTGAAGTAATTAATAATGCGTTTGCTGCATTTAACAAATAATTTCGAAGCCTTCCAACTGTGATTCACAACCAGAGCCAATTGAGTTCAATCCAGAGAGAAAAGGATTTTAACTTATTACAGAAAACAAAATGCACAAGTAATATAATTAGAGCTGAAATGATTAGTCAGTTACTGGGTGGGTTAACAGAAATTCATCAGCAACAACAAATGTACAGGTTTCAGCATCTACATAGTTTTATCAAATAAAGAATTAGAAGTAATTTAAAAGACTTTTCTAGACTTTATATACAAACAGACAAAATTTCAACACAAGATTTAAAATGAAGGAGGCTTTTCCAATGCTGAATCTATGCTGTAACAAAAAATAAAATGCTGTACTTCTTAAATGAACTAAATGAAGAGTGAATGGATCTTTTTCTCACCTTGGTGCCGGCCTGCTGGCTCAACTGGACGGGGGCACACTCTGTGGGAGGTGGGGGGCCGTGAGCCTGGACAGTCTGGGCTGCAGGAGAGGGTGGATGGACATCAAGAGTAAACGCTGTACTCTCCATGGCCAAGGCAGCGGTTGGCTCTGACAGCGGACACGTCGATGGCAGAAGAGGTGGTAATGATAATGATGGTGGTGGGATTGAAGATTGCGATAACAAAAATAGTGACGATTACATTGATAGTGAAAGGTAAGAGCAATTTGAGAGAGATGATAATAGATTTAAATAGAATATAACTTCCTGTTGATTGATTTTTTTAGATTAAGCAGCAGTTACACTCACTGTTCTGTGTGTGCTGTTGGACAGCGGCGTCGTCTCCTCCTTTGGAGAGACCAGCAGACACAGCTGTGGGTTCAGGCTGCTGCTGAGGCACCGAGTCGCTGAAATGCAGAGGGGGCGGACTGCTGTGGGCTGAAGTACGGACCGACGACAGAGGCTGGGAAGCAGACAACTGGACTCGGACCTGGGGAACTGAGGTCTGGACCTGGGGCAGAGGCTGAGAAACAGATGACTGGATCTGCACCTGGTTCTGAGCAAACAAGGCCTGTGAGACCTGGAGCTGATGAGGGAAATGGTACTGGACCTGGGGCTTGATGTGAGGCTGGGGAGCTGTGGTCTGAGTGACTGAACTCTCAGGTCCCGATAGACTAATGTGAGGTCCAGCTGGAGGGGAGAACGTTGCCAGAGCTGTTCTCCCGCTGTCCTGAATCGGAGGAGAGGGGCAGAGCAACGGTGTGTCCTCAGGGTCTGAGTGCAGCGGAGAGGGCTCAACGCACTGATCAGACATCACAGTGTGGGTGTCCTGATCAAAGACCGCGTGGGCCTGAGGTTGGGTCTCTCTCTCACTGGCCTCAGGGGTAGTGAGAGACTCCATCGGTACCACTGGCAGCGCTCCAACCAACAGTTCAGATGTGATGGGAGAACTAAGTGCTTGCTGTGGTAGAAATCGTAACAAGAGAAGATTAACAAGTGCAGTTACTATGATCTTATAGATGCTTTAGGAAGCAGTCAGCGGTCCCTCAGTCAGATCATATGGTGAAGCTGCACTGAGATGCAACCAGCATCCAACTTTAACCACTTTCAAATCCAAATTTCAAACTCCACTGATGCATTTTATTCTAAAATTGTATTTCCTTTATTAAATTTGGGACAACTTCCAGTGTCATTGTACTGTAACTCCTATCAACACAATATCATTGCACTAACAGTCACTAAACAGTAACACTGGATTATCACCCTGCCCTATTAATATTACTATTGTGAACCTGAGTAGGAAAGTCACACTCTAAAGGCCCACATGCATTTTTATCTCTGCAAGAATCTACATGATTTTGCTGATTCTCTTGCCTGTTGCAGATGTTGCATAAAGGCCTGGTTCTGGCTCATCGAATGGGTCACCTCTTCCACTACTTGGGTCAAATCTGCTGGGGGCATCAAAAGTTTGGGCATCTCCACAGTTGGATCAGGGGCCAGAGGTGGTTCAGGAGGAGGCTGTAAGACTGTGAGCACGGGAGGAGAGGAGGCCTGCAGCCCGGCAGAGGTGGGCTGCACCGAGACGTGTTGGAGAACGTGGCCATAGGGCTACAGGAGGAGAATCCAGACTACAGGGTTAGAGGAAACTGTGGGTACGTTTCTGAATGATAAAGCAGATTCATTTTATAGTTTTTGCTCCTTGACTGAGATGTTACATCATCAGCATTTTGAATATTTTCAAAAAACACATCTCAGATTGGGTGTGTGGCCAGAAATGCACAACGCTCGTTTGAACACTGTGTCAGAAGTTGTAACTACTAAACATTACTACAAATCCAGTTCATTTTGGTATGGCAGCTCTTCTCTGATCTCTCCTGCCATCCACTAGTTTCCACGTCATCAAGAGTCTGCTGACTGATTTTTTTTACTGCAAATGAATGAATGGAAACCGATGTACGCCCAGAACAGTAAAGATGACACACAGCGGCACAGCTGGCAGAACAAGGTCGCTGATTTGTAGTAAACAGGCTAAAACCTGCTAAACCACTGGTATAGTCTTTTAAATGCCAGTTCATATGTTCACTCCAAGCTGTGAGTACACACCTAGCTAGTGTTTAATCATAGTGTCAAATGTTAGCAACAGCATGCCGCCTCCAGGCAAGGTCAGGTAATTTAATAAAATTTACCAGGAGAAGATACTGTTGAAGAGAGGGGAGGAAGGAGGGAGACGAGATTTGAATATCTCTGGTTGTATTAGGTCACAGTGGGCAAAGCTACAAATGAATGAGTAGTTGGATTTGTTGATTTGTGAAGCCAAATAATAGACATCTTTATTTATACACTATCCATTTAACTTCCAGAAAATCTACTACACAAGTTTAAAATGATTATACTGTGACAGAAGACTGTATGCATATGACCCAGCCCTCCCTCCAGCGTTCCTGAGACAGCAGAGATGGCAGCTCACCTGTGCAAGTTGGTGGAAAGTCTCCTGTGCACTGATCCTCTCCTCTGGGACAGCTCTCTCTGGCATCAGCACCACAGCCGCCTGCTGGAGGCTCAGCTGTCCTTCTGTCACTCCCGTCTGAGGAGCTGGGCCCTGGGCAGCAAAGGGCAGCCCCTGAACCACAGAGGGGCCATTAACGATCGAGATGGAAGTGAGATCTGGGGGAAGCACCCCTGAACTGTTGATCAAGGTTATGTGGTTGCCAAGAGCAGGACTGTGGACCAGGGTGGCACGCTGCCCTTGCCCAACTGGAGTGTAGGCTCCAGGCAGCTGTGCTGGCATCTGGAAGACAGTAGGGGGTGCTGACTGTAACTGCAAGGGTCCTGAAAGCACAGTGGCCTGGCGGAGCGCTAGCTGCCCTGTGGGGGTGGTAAAGACGGGGCTGAAGTTCAGCTGTCTTTGGGGCACAGTTAGGATCTGAGAGCCGTCTACGAGCTGCCCAGTGGAGGGAGCCAAGCTGTGGATCGACGGGCCTTGGTGAGTGTGAGTCAGCAGTGGTCGAGCTGCACTGGGAGGCTGGGAGATTGTAACAGGGGACTGGCCTGGAAGAAGAAACTGGTTTTGGCCTTGAAAGAGTCCCTGAGGCTGGAGCACAAAGGAGCCGCCCTGGTTGACCAACTGCAGGCTGACTGGTTTGGGGAGCTGCTGGCTGGGCTGTGGAGGCAGAGCTGCAGGCTTCTGGCCTGGAGCCTGAGACAGTAAAATATTTGGTGAGGCAGTCCCGGGAACAAATGTAAGACCTGGAGTGGGTTTCTGCCCAGAAGGCTTGGGGCTAATTTGAACCAGTCTGGGCTGAATGTTGATGGGGAGCTTGGGCTGGATGGGGAGAGGGGCCCTCTGCAGGACGATTCCTGGTGCTGCTGCTGTTTGTCTCATGGTCGGAGTGATGAGAGCACGACTAGTCATACTTGGAACAGCCTTGTGGATGATCATACTGGAGCCCTGGGCAGGACTCAGAGAGAAAGAGGTCTCCGGTGAAGCAGCAGGAAACACATTTCCAGGCAGGAGTCCCATCAGCTGAGGAGGAGCAGCGGGTTTTAGAGAAGGGCAGCCAGGCCCTACAGCCAGGAGGGATGGCTGGGGAGGCTCCACTGCTGCCTGGGTGTCTCTGGGCAATGCTGGGGTGACAGGCAAGGTCACAGACTTGGATACAAATGGCATGGTGGGTGGAGAGAGAAGAGGGGCAGGTGAGTACAGGGACAGACTGTCCCCTGCTTGGGTCAGCCCTGCCTCCAGAGCCATGGTCTGCTCTGTGATCTCAGCCTCCTGGAGGCTCTGCTGGAGGATATCACATGCCACCTCCGCCTCCTCTGCTATCTCCACTTCTCTGTTCTTCGCCTCACATCCAGCCTCCACAGGTAATCCACTATGCACCACCTGTGGGTCTTCTCCATCCTCTGGTGATGACATGAGGGCCTCCTCCAAGAAGGACAGATCCACACACCCGGGTGGAGGTGTGTCTGGGGAATCCCTGCCATCTCCCAGCAGAGAGACGGGGCTCTGGAGGACGAACAGTGGGAGACAGAGAGAGGGGTACAGGCAGCAGGGGAGATGAGGCAGAGTAAAGGAGGGGAGAATTGTGTGATTAGAGCAGGAAGCTGTTTCAGGCACAGACGGAGACAGAAACAATCATTCTCCAGGGGAAAATGCTGGCTGTTGTGACGCCGCTGGCTGTGGATCCAGACACTCACCGGGGCATCTGTGAAGAGGGAGGGCTCCCCAGAGGAGGAGTTAATGAGCAGGTCTTCAGTCTGCAGCTGGTGGGAGAAAACCAGTCGATTTTAGCCTGAGCTCACATCGTGGTGAGAAATGCACACAGTGTTACATTACGACTCTTTCACACTGTCAGCACTCCTCCACACAGCTCGCACAATCGCGTGCCAAGAAATACTTCCATCTCAAATTTATCATTTGCACTATTGATTTTTTTATTTGAGTCCCTCTCTATTTAAGATGCTTTTGTTACCTCATTGGTCCCATGAAGGAAGTCGTTCAGGGCTTGGGGGTCACTGCAAAGACAGAAAGAGAGAGGGACGTTATAATCCCAAACAAAATCAGTTAGATCTCCGTGAACATTTGGTGCAACAAGAGACTGAAACATGGTGTGAAAGTAACATTTCTAGAGGACAAATCCCTTAAATGTGTTTAAATGCTCATGTTTGATTATCTACAGTGCTATGTAGATCCAATCCAAGTAAGAATCAGAGAGATGTACCACAAAACATCAAGTAGACAAGTCCCATCTTCATCCTCCATGTCAGCTGAGGAGAAAAGGAGGAAAGGTGCATGTGAACAACATTTATATTATTGAGATTAAATGAGGAGGTTCAATCAGCGAGGACAAAGCAACTCATTGCTCACATTTTCATTCTTATTGTGGCTGCAACCCATGGCAATTTGCATCCCCACATGACCCAGAGAATGTGTAAAGATTAGTTATAGAGTCAGCAGCTTCACTAAAGCTCCTATTCACCATCTAACAGCATCTCTTTCTGTTCTAGTCTGACTCTAAGGGACTTATGTACATCAAAGCTGCTGTTCTAACCAGGACAACCAGGTGCACGTCAGTCTACAAACCCAAAGCAAGACATTATGTTCATTTAAAGGCAACCTAAAGACCTTGGTATTTGGTTCGTGCTCCTAAGGCACCTTACTTTGGCTTCAGCATTCTTTTTCTTATATTCAGGTGTGTGTGCAGCACCTTCCCTTGTGTTTTATTTTTGTTTTATCCTGCAAAACACCTGTGTTCAACTAGACACTTGATTTATCAAAAATCATACAATTCTGAAAAATGCACATCAATTGTTGTTAATTAACAATAAAAAATATAAAAAAAGATTTAATTTGCAATTATATAAAACAAAAATCTGTAAACCTGGTATCCAAGAAGCTAGAAGCAGCCAATCTTTGGTATTTTGATCAATATAAGGCTTAGATTATTAAAGTTTTGCTAAAATGTGCTGTTGATTGACTGTTCTACTAATTGACACTGGCTGTTGTTGTTCCCAAACCTTTTGGCCTGTTTACACTAAAGGCTAAGTGTGGACATGTTTTAAGTAATTAAACAAAAGAGTGATAGTTTTCTTCTCTGATGGTTTAATTTAAAGGATTTTACAGATGCAAGGAGGTCAACGTTGCCCCTATTTCGCAAAAAAGCAGACATAAACTAAATTATTTTAGGTACTGGGAATATCTGGTGTCTCTGCAGTGACTCGTTTTTTTACCCCCAGGTCTGGAACCACTGGACCATTTCATAGTTGACATGATGAAATGATTGTTCATAATCAGTCATTTTGCCAAATGTGATCCAAAAACACCAGACAACCGGTGTTTCTCTTGTGTTTCTTTGCGTCCACATGGAGAGAGACCACAATATGAACCTACTTCATATGTGAGAGGCCCCATACAGAACGGTCGAGCGGAGTTCTGGTGGCGGCCTCATGGGAAGTCGTGGCCGGGGTTCAGCGTCTGGAGGCGGTGGGAGGCCAGGCCGAGGCGGCGGGACGCAGACGGATCCTCCGTCTGCCCGGGCATCGCTGCGTCCTCACGGTGCGGGAAGCCGGCGGAGAGGCTGGATGTGACGGGGGAACAAACACACCACCATATGCCGTCAGGTCACTTGAGGTTACCAGCAGCCAAAACACATTCTCATCTCAGCGGTGAGACACAAGATCAATATATGATTCATCAGTTTCTCCTCAGCTTTGGGCAGCGCAGGTGGGATTGTGTTGCAGACAACTGGGGGGGGGGGGGC